GGGGAAATGGATTTAAACTGAAAGAGGCAGATTTAGATTAGAGGGTGATGAGGCACTGGACCAAGTTGCCCAGAGATGTTGTGGATGCCCCATCCCTGGAAGTGTTCAAGGCCAGGTTGGATGAGGCTTTGGGCAACCTGTTGTAGTGGAGGATTTCCCTGCCCATGGCAGAGGGGTTGGAACTAGATGATCTTTGAGGTCCCTTCCAACTCTAACTATTCTATGATTCTATAATGGTGTCCAAGATGTGAATACCCTGTCCTTCCCAGAGTAGCCACTGGGAACTGGTTTCCTTTTGGGAGATGAGTGAGTCAGGTTTAAGTACTTGTCAGTCTGTCTTTTCCTAGGTGCATGTGCTAACCCACCAAGCCTTTTGTCCATTTCTTGCCTGCTTTATGTAAGTAACTCAAATAAAACATTTTTAGTGTTATACCTTGTGGTTAGTGCACTCACCAGGTATGTGGTAAACCCAGGATCAAATATCTTTGCTGAGCTGTCAGTCCAGAAGTGATGAAGTTTTCTTTCCTCATCCCTATCTGCTATAGTAGAATAACCCACTTCTGATCCTAATGAACAGACTTTCTGAAGCCTTGCATTTCTATGCAATGGGGAGGGTTATCTGTATTTACAGCAGAGCGGGCATAAGACTGGATTTTCAGCTCCTTTTCATTGTATCTCTAGTTTGCTTGTTCCTTTTTTCTTGCTCTTGTTAGCTTGCGTTGATTGGTAAGTGGTAAAGGAGAGAGATAAACACACAGTCCCAGAAAACAAAAACATAGGAAGAAATAAAAAAAGCGAGACAATATTTTTCATTTCATTACTGTGCTTCTTCACAGCCTCTGTTCTGACATTTAGAACCACATAATACGTATGTCTCTGTTCATTAGGTTGCTCAGTACTACATAGTGACAGCCACAGAGAGAAAGGAAAAAAAAAAGAAACAACCTTAGACATGAACTAACCTTTGCAGGCTAAATAACAAAGAAATGAGAACATCAAAGGAGAAATATGTTTTCTGAAAAAGTAAACGTAACCAAAATCATGGCCTTGCGTAGGTTATTCAAATATTACAAAGGGGAAAAGAGAATACTGAACTCCAGGGCATCAATAACTAATTTTCTGCCCAATGACTGACTTGTTTTGCATGTATATGTTTGAGTAGATCTGTTGCTAGTATTCGTACCACAGTAAATGACACGAGGAGACTGCTAAAACTAGAGATAGGCTTAAAGATATTCGGGAGCTGATAAAGGTCCACAAAAATGAAAGCTTCCTATAGGAAAGCCCTTATGTGTTTTGGAAATAGGGTATCTGCACCAAGTGGAGATGTCTAAGCTATTACCCAACAAACTGGTGCATATGTATGCTGCAGCATAGTGTCAAATACAAATATTAGCTTGGAAATGTTAAATGTTAAGATTTCATATTAAATTTACTAAGAAGCCAGGATACAGCAATACTATTTAGGGTTCTAGATGTCGCTAGGCTGCAACTAACATGCATATTTGAATGGATCCAGGGATGCCTCTGTAGGAGGATTGTTAGAGCTATATCAAAAGTGTATGATAAATGCAGCTGGGTTTTTTTCTCCCCATCAGTTTCAAGAGAACTACAGCATTCTAAAAGTGTGTGGGTTTTACTGAAATTTCTGGAGGAAGAAAAAAGAACAAAAGAGATATTTCAACTCTCTAGAAGTGAAATATTTTGATTTCTCATATTAGCACTTTTAATTTTTTGTCATTTCAATATTCTTTTTGGGATATCAATGATAAATCTTTTCCCCTCAAGTGAGGAGATTAAAATTGGCATTTTCTTTCATGGAAGTTTTGAGATTTGTGAATTTTCCTCAGTTGGGAAAAAGTAAAAATCTGAGTAATCTGTGAAAAACGATTATCAATCTATTTAGCACCAGTAACTACACACTACTAGTCTCAGTATTCCATAAAATTAGCCTGATTCTAATTCTTGGGTTTTACAGATAGGGAAAGTGTTTCTTGATTTTTATGATCTTACTCTAAGATGATATCAGCCGGTGGCAAAGAATAGGGAAAACCACACTGTTTTTCCTATGTATTCTGCCCAGGTTTTTATGCTTGCTATGTTCAGATCTGCTTCTAAAACTACCAGATGTCAAAATATTCATTAAGGGGGAATATTCATTGATCATTTACATCCCTGGCTCCTCTGGTAAGCAGAGGAGGAGAGGGCTAAGAGAATACAACAAGGCTTGGAAAAAGATAAAGCAACTGTCTAGCTGCTTTGCAGATCCCAGGGAGGCTTGAAGCTGAGGGTGTGTGCGATTCCTGTGGCGTGAAGGTCTCCAAGCAGGTCTGGTGCTGAACCTCACTGAGCTCACTGCCACCTTTCACTGGGAGAGCTGTTATTCAGAAAGGCTTTATGTGCATACCCCTTCCTCTTACTTTTTATTTGTTTGTTAAATAGGGGATTTATAGACCTCTTCAGAGGATGCTGTGAGGGATAGCAGTGACACAGTTCTGTATCTGGAGCAGACAACAGCCCTGCTGTCAATGATAAGCATTCCTGGGAGGGTGGAGATTGGAATTTAGCTCTTACAAAGCCCTAATTGGCGCGAGCCTTCACGAAGCATATGTGCCCGCTGCAGCTCTGCCATCTGATGCCTCAGCAGGCGGGTGGTGCTTGGCATGTCAGCCGCCTCTTCAGAGGGACCCTCCGGGCTGGAGGATGGGATGCCATCTCTCCTGGATGACAGTGGGCATGTGTGTTTTGGGGGACAGAGGAGATACTCATGTCAGGGTGCCCTGGGGAGCAGAGGAAGGGTCATGATGGCTGTGTGAACCACCCCCATCATAGCAGGGGATACATGATGTCCTCTGGACCTTGGGCTGAGGAAGGAGTCACTGTAGGGCAGTTTCAGGGGGATATGCTACTTGGTGGGTTGGGGTCACTGTGGATTGGCCCCCAGTTGTCACAGGGTGAGTGTTGATGCGGGGACATGGGGTCTGGGGTTGGTGGTCAGGGCACCTGGAAGGGCCCTGGGGTGGCTTGGTGCTGTGAGGCCCCAGCTTGGGCACCTCCCTAGGGA